TAGATAGATAGATAGATAGATAGATAGATAGATAGATAGATAGATAGATAGATAGATAGATAGATAGATAGATAGATAGATAGATAGATATGTATTCTGTTGCCATGTTTTCTTATATTAATTTATTTTTCAGGTGAGCAGACAGATGTCGGGTGTGTGGCCTTGTGTTTTCTTGGTGTATTTTTAACATATTTTCTAATCTCTCCTTCAGTCTTTCTACTTACATTTCCTCTTTTCTCTCCCTCTCTCTCTCTCTTCCTCTTTATATAACTAAAAAAATCACTGATGATGAAGAAATGATGAAACTAAGAAACTAATAATAAGTTATTTTTTCTACTGAAGTGAAAAAAATCTCTCGATTAATTGTGGTATTTAACCGATAAAGATTAACATGATGAATAATCCCCTGGAGTCCCTGGATGCCTGCACGCCCTAGTCACATGACCAATTTAAATCACTCTAGTTGGAAAGATTTGCTCTTTGTRAAAATCTGTTCCAAATTGTATCAACAGTGCAGACTTCAGGCTGATTTAAACTGTGTTGATGTAAAACTGGAGTTAGGATAAATAAATTAGACATGAAAAATACCAGTTTTATATTACTAATCATCATAAATGACCTTAACCTTTGACCCTTTGATGCCCAAATCTAATCAGACTGAGTACGAGGAGTTACTGTACCTATTTATAAGTAAAAATATTATTTCATTCAGGAGATATTGTGCACACAAGACTGCTTTTGGTGGACAAATGTTGTGAAACCCCTCATGCAAAACTTACTGGAAGCGCATCTGTGTTTTTCTTCATTTTAAATGGACCAGTTAAGAGACATACCTTCTGTTTTTCTCTCATTAATGCCTCAAAACATTAGGACCACTTCACCACTGACACAAGAATTATGAAAAATAAAAAGTATTAACTCAGACTTCTCCATCTTGTTTAAAAATTATAAAACACAACAAAAAGACAAATTATGCTTAACTTGAAATCAAACAATTCTACAACAATAAGAAACACTAAAGAGTGGAGATGCCTGAAAAAAAAAACAGGATGAAGAAGATAAAAAAGAAAAAACAGCAGCTAGAAGAGAAGCTGATCCAGACTTTTGCTCCTGTGAGAAAAATCTAATCCACGTCCTTGAACAAAAAGCTGACTTAATGTTTGTTCGCGCCCACGTGAACGCTTCTGTTCACCCTCTCTGCTCGTCATTTTAAAAAACAAACAGATAAATTCACTTGTCAGGATGTGATGGTCTTTAAACTCTTCAAACAAAACTCGACAGCATATCCAYATGGTGGTTTATACTGAAATATCCTGTATTTAAATATCTGACACACATTCATTTAAATGTTTCAGTCAGTTTCAGTAGMTCCAAACAAACTCCAGGAAGAGTTTTCCCACAACAGATTTAACGGAGCTTCGCAAGCAGCTCAAAATAAAGCTGAAACCTGGTGAGATGAATTTTTCATCAGTTTCACTCAAAGGGAGTCACCGATCCCGAGGAATCCAGCAGCTCTTCCTGTCAGCTCCTCACTGTTCGAGCGGCGGAGGAACTAAATTGGACAGCATCACCGGTGGGGCTCCTCAGAATCCTGAACACGTTCCTGGACCGGGACTTTGTTCCCACCAGGGTGGACTTGTTAGTCATGCAGTTGCAGTAGCTCRTTTGGCTCTGCAGCAACATTTTAAAGTTAACGAAGCTTTGCTCGGCCAAAACGTGATTCAGGACTTTTACATAAAACATGGAGCGTGTTGGTTTGTTGTGGAGCGGTTTTCTCTGATCCAGACAGCAAAGTGCCGGAATAAATATGATTATAGTTCGRACTGTTCGGGGAATTTCCCCACCTGTGGTCATCCCAGGTCAAAATTTATGAATCTCTTTTTGCTCTCTACACTAAAATCTGTTTTCTCTGCATGTGGCTGACATCATGCACTTAGATATGTTTTATTACCACCAATTGGAGATTGAAGGTTAACATGAATTCAAAAGCTTCAAACATTCAGCCCTGCTTTCTTTAAACACAGTGCTGCTCTCCGTCTGTGGTAAAGC